AGAAAGAAAGAAAGAAAGAAAGAAAGAAAGAAAGAAAGAAAGAAAGAGACATTAAGAAAGAAAGGAAGAAAGAGATTAAGAAAGGAGGAAAGAGATTAAGAAAGGAAGAAGGGCCTGTCTAGGTTACAGTCACACAATGTGCGCAGCTTGGAACCTTTTACCAACTTCTGCAGCACCACACATTGGCATTGAATATTATACATCTGAGGGTGAGGAGTGGGATTTTGATTTTCAGAGAATTCTAGGTAAGGTGGAAACCGGTAGCCAGTGATCCTCAGATTTGTTTGTTTGTTTCTTTCTTTCTCTATTTATTTATTATTTAATTTACTTTGTATCCCCAATGGAGCTCCCTCCCTCAACCCCTCCCAATCCTATCCTCCCTCTCTCTTCTCCTCCTATCATGACCAGTCCACTGATAAGGGAGGACCTCCTCCCATTCCCTCTAATCATAGCCTATCAGGTCTCATCAGGACTGGCTGAGCTGTCTTCCTCTGTGGCCTGGTAAGGCTGCACCCTCCAGCGGAGGGTGAACAAAGAGCCTGCCACTGAGTTCCTGTCAGAGACAGCCCCTGCTCCCCTTACTGAGGAGCCTGCCATGGACTACATCTGAGCATGGGGTCTAGGTGTTCTCCATGTATGGAAAAGCAAATAATCTAGAATTGCTAAAACAATCCTGTACATTAACAGGTCATCTGGAGGTATCTCTATCCCTGATCTCAAGCTGTCCTATGGAGCAACAGTAAGAAAAACTGCTTGGTATTGGCATAGAAACAAAATGGTGGATCAATGAAACCCCAGAAATAAATCCACACACACTTGGATACTTGATTTTTGATAATGAAGCAAAAACAATGCAATGGAAAAAAGAGCATCTTTAACAAACAATGCTGGTCTAACTGGAGATATACATGTAGAAAAATACAAACAGATCCATATACATCACCCTGCATAAACATAAGTCCAAATGGATCAAGGACCTCAACATAAAACCAGGCACACTAAAACTGTTAGAAGAAAAAGTGGGGAAGTGCCTTGAACTCATTGGCCCAGGACACAAATTCCTGAACAGAACACCAACAGCATAGGCTCTAAGATCAAAAATAAAAAATGGTGTATGTTTATATGAGTGAGTATATACCATGCGTGTCTTTTTGCTTCTGGGACAACTCACTCAGGATGATCCTTTCCAGGTCCCACCATTTAACTGCAAATTTCATGATTTCCTTATTTTTTATTGCTGAGTAATACTCCATTGTATAGATGTACCACAGTTTCTGCATCCATTCTTCAGTTGAGGGGCATCTGGGCTGTTTCCAGCTTCTGGCTATTACAAATAAAGCTGCTACAAACATGGTATATACTCACTCATATAAACATACAACATAGAACAAGCCCACTAAAATCTGTACATCTAAACAAACTAAGCAAAAGAGAGGACCCTAACTAAAATGTTCAATCCCCATCCTGAAAGGCAAAGAGGATGGACATCAGAAGAAAAAGAAAATAGGAAACAACCTCGGAACCTGCTACAGAGGGCCTCTGAAAGCCAGAAGAAAACAGGAAACAACCTTAGAACCTGCCACAGATGGGCCTCTGAAAGCTTCTGCAGTATAGACTATCAAAGCAGATGCTGAGCCTGATGGCCAAATGTTGGGCAGAGTGAATGGAATTTTATGTAAGAAGTGGGAAATAGTAAGAGCTGGAGGGGACAGGAACTCCACAAGGAGAGCAACAGAACAAGATAATTTGAACACAGGGAACTTCCCAGAGACTCATACTCCAACCAAGGACTATTCATGGAGATAACCTAGAACCCTTGCACAGATGTAGCCCATGGCAGTTCAGTGTCCAAGTGGGTTACATAGTAATAGGAAGAGGGACTGCCTCTGACATAATCTGATTGGCCTGCTCTTTGATCGCCTCCCCCTGAGGGGGGAGCAGCCTTACCAGGCCACAGTAGAGGACAATGCAGCCACTTTTGATGAGAACTGATAGACTAAGATCAGAAAGGAGAGGAGAACCTCCCCTATCAGTGGACTTGGGGAGTAGCATGCATGCAGAAAGGGGAGGAAGGGTGGGATCAGGAGGGGAGGAGGGAGGGGCTTATGGGGGGATACAAAATGAATAAAGTGTAATTAATAAAAAAATAAAAAATAAATTTAAAAAATAAAATAAAAAATAAAAAAATGGGACCTCATGAAACTGAAAAGCTTCTGTAAAGAAAAGGAGACTGTCATCAGAACAAACAACAGCCTACAGACTGGGAAAGTATCTTCCTCATCCCTATATATGACAGGGGGATAATATCCAGAAAATATAAAGAACTCAGTTTTCAAGAGTCAAATGAAACCAGGAAAATTCCAAAGTTGCTTATGACCCCTCGTTTTAGTGTACTCATGAAAAAAGCTGTGTGGCTGCACAGACTCCTCAGACCAGGAGATCAAGCAGCTAAATTAGGAGTGATAAGGAGAGCAAATATTGGAGCCCAGTAGTAAAATCTGGGAGTAAGATACAGAATCCCAATGAGTAACTCTGTATTCATTTTTGAATCAACATATTCCAGTCTGAAAATTGACTGACATGAGCTTCCCCAAAGATTTCTATAACTATGATTTGATAGAGAACTAGAGGGTATTTGTGGCTTCTTTCCCCCATCTTTTCATGATTTCCATGGAGACTGGAAAGAAGAAATTTACAAGAATAGCCTAACAGATTCCAATTTCACTGTAGTCTCCTAGTTGCATCGTCTGAGTGTTTATCATGTTTTTGTGGTAGAGGAAAGGGCTATTTTTTTAATTGTTATTATTTTTTACAGTTTATTCACTTTGTATCCTGACTGTGGCCCTGTCCCTTGTCTCCTTCCCAACCCCTCCCTCCTTCCCTGTTCTTCTCCCATGCTCCTGTCCTAGTCCACAGATAGTCCATTTTGGAATACTACTCAGCTATTAAAAACAAGGCAATGATGAAATTTTCAGGAAAGTGGGGAGGTCTGCCTCTCCTTATATCTGACCCTATCAGGTCTCATCAGGACTGGCTGCATTGTCTTCCTCTTCTGTGGCCTGGCAAGGCTGCACCCTGCCCCTAAGGGGGGGGGGGTGATCAGGAAGCCTGCCACTGAATTCATGCCAGAAAGAGCCCTTGCTCCCCTTACTAGGTATTCCACTTGGACACTGAGTCTATTGGCTACATCTGAGCAGATGTTTTAGGTCCTCTCCATGCATGGTCCTTGATTGGGCTATCAGTCTCTACAGGCCCCCCCAAGGCCCAGTTTATTTGGCTCTGTTGCTCTTCTTTCGGAGCTCCTCTCCCTTCCATGCCTTTATATCTCCCCTTTCATTAATAAAATTCCATGCACTCTGTCCAAAGTTTGGCTATGAGTCTCAGCCTCTGCTTCAATACCTTGATCAATAGAGTCTTTCAGAGGCCATTTGTGGTAGGCTTCTGGACTGTTTGTTCCCTGTCTTCTGATTCCAATGTCTATTGATGTCTATTTCATTTTCCCTTCTGAATGAGGACCGAGCTTCTTCCCTAGTGTCTTCCTTATTGTTTAGCTTCTTTAGGACTACAGATTTTATTACATTTATCCTATATTATATGTCTAATAACAACTTATGAGTGAGTATACACCATGTGTATCTTTGTGTTTCTGGGATACCGCACTTAAGGTGATCTTAATCTAACTCTCACCATTTGCCTGCAAAATTCATGAGTTCCTTGTTTTTAATTGCTGAGTAGTATTCCACTGTGTAAATGTACACAATTTCTGTATCCATTCCTCTATTGAGAGACATCTAGGTGGTTTCCAGATTCTGGCTATTACAAATAGAGGAGCTATAAATATGGTTGAGCAAATGAACTTGTATAGATGAGCATATTTTGGATATATGCCTAGGAGTGCTATAGCTTGATCTTAAGGTAGCACTATTAATAACTGTTTGAGAAAGCATCAGATTGATTTCCAAAGTGGTTGTACAAGTTTACATCCACACCAGTAATGGAGGAGGGTTCCCATTTCTCCCAATTCTCTCCAGCATATGTTATCAATTGAATTTTTGATCTTAGCCATTCTGATGGGTGTAAGGTGAAATCTCAGAGTTGTTTTGATTTGCATTTCCCTGATGACTAAGGACATTGAGAATTTCTTAAGTGTTTCTCTGCTATTTGATATTTCTCTATTGAGAATTCTCTGTTTAGCTCTGAACTCCATTCTTTAACTGCATTACTTGGTTTGTTGGTGTTTAACTTCTTCAGTTTTTTATATATTCTAGATATTAGCCCACTGCAGATATAGGGTTGGTGAAGATCCTTTCCATTCTGTAGGCCGTCGTTTTGTTCTGATTACAGTGTCCTTTGCTTTACAGAAGCTTTTTAATTTCATGAGGTCCCATTAATTGATCTTAGAGCCTGTATTGTTGGTGCTCTGTTCAGGAAGTTGTCTCCTGGGCCAACGAATTCCAGGCTCTTCAGGGAAGGACTATTAAAGAAATAATGAAATCACATACCTGTGAGAAAGACTACATCTGCAGTTGACTTTCCATATTGTTGTTCCAGGTATTTAGGCAGGAAGGTAACTCCTTCAGTAAGTGCACTGACCTGAAGCACACTTATAAGCATAAAAAGCATGTAAATTGGGTTGCAGGACAGGCGCTTCATGAAAAGCAAGAAATCTGAAACAAGAGAGTATAAATATCACCAAGCTAACTTGACCTTGCCTTTTGTCTCAGTGTTCTCCTAAAATCTTCTTACATATGCAGTGCAGGGACATAAATGCATTTGGTAAATCTCTACCTCTTTGAGGCTAAAGTTCTCTATCACTGTTTAAGTCACATCAGAAAGTTAGTGGCACAACTGGCCTTATTTGAGAATAGGTAAGCTAAAATCTCGGGAGGGCTCCAGAAATCATGCTGCTATCCAGACAGCCCTAGCATCTCGCCAGCACTTCAGAGCAGTACATGCATTAGAACCACCTAGTGATATGTTTAAACAGTTCAGCAGGAAGGTCTCACTGTAAGGAATGCTGACTCAGTTGGTGTACACCAAGCAAGCACTTTCCAAGTAACTTACCCAAAGCTTTTCCCTGCTTAAGAAGCTGAGACTGAAGTTTGTAGCCTGTCTCTAGAAATTAGATTGAATCTCACTGAAGATAATTTGCCTGAAATTCACATTTAATAGTCTCCTTCCTTTTCATGTCTACTGTCTTGATTTTCTAATTTTATACTCTCCTTAATAAATTACAGAGAATTTCATTGAGAGAAAAGTATCAAGAAGAGACAATTTAGAAGTAGAGGGAAAGAGCTTAATTAAAAACTGGACTCTAGGGGTAAAATCCATGTTTATGAATGAATGGGCTGCAGACAGAATTCCAGGGAGTTTTGAACTCATCCATGTTTGTTGACTTCCCTCCTAAGTGTGTCTCCACAGCTCAGTTATTTCCTGTATGTCTTAGTCTCTGCTCAGCTCTTTCCTAGTTTTGAAATTAGGTTGACCTGGCAGATCACAAAACTGCACAGAAAGGTCAGTATTGACCCTTTCAGGACAATCACTAACATGACCATGATTCTAAGAATGTTCAAGCCCCTACGCTGGCTCCCAATATGACTGGCTCCTCAGCCTGGTTTGTAGTGTTCAAAGCAGATGTGTGACTATTAAGTGCACGTAGCTGTTGGGGGCTATGAGTGATGGAGGAAATAGCGATGTCATCAATAAAGTGTTTACCAGTCTGTGCCAGAACACTCAGGTGTCCTACCTTAGCTTCTCACCAAACCATCACTACTCTCCATCATAGGTTAATGACATTCCTGCTTGCTTAAAAGCAGTTTGTTCTAAGGGAACAATTTTCCTGTAAACTATCACATTCCTTCAGACACAGAGGGTTATGTCACTTAACATGTTTTCTGTTTCAGCCTTGACTTCAAGAATGCTCACAACTAAATCTTATCAAACAGTCTTTTATCTTTATATTTAGCTTAGACTTCTGATTATTTTTAACTTGGATTAATATTTTCTATAAAATAGAATTTTCAAAACAGATGGGTAAATATATCTGCTCATTGACTGTTCACATTGGCTTGAATTTTTCATAAAGTCTAATCTTTGTTAAGTCAGGTTCCAAATTATGTCAGTTGTTTCTAAGTGGTAACTGTGAAAGAAATTTATCACGTCTGAGTAGGGACAGTTATTGACAAACTATCTTAACTCAGCACAGCATGACAAGTGCCCACTGACTGCAGACCCATCTGAAACAAAGACGGTTATAAAGTTTTCCTGTTTGCCTTTAGTGATTCCATGTTTTTCCTCTTTGAACTCTTCTTTGTATTTATCTTCATTGTCAGTTTTAGTTCCATCCTCATTTTCCTCTAGTCCTTCTTTTGGGAGTGTTTTTGGAAAAAAGAAAAATGGGATGCTGGTCAGGATATTCATTCCTGCACAGATCAAAAAGCCAATCCACCAAGCTCCAACCCAGCGTGTATCAGTGGGAGTGATGGTCAGGTCATCTGGAAAGAAATTCAGATATTGTATTAGCTTGCATCATTTGTTCCTCTGCAAACTACAGAAAACTATCAATTCTCATAATTCCATCTGAGCATAAACTTTGCTGTATAATTTGTTCTTATTGTTGTTTGGGCCTTGAACTTATGATCTTTTGTCTCTGCTTCCCAAAGCTTTGATTTCTGGCATCTGCCACCCCCACTGGACTTATTCAGACCTTTAAAAAAGGTGTCTGAGGTTCATCAATTAGGTGAAATTAAAATTAAAGAAAGGGTTCCAGAGTGCTACCTGCAGTAATTGTTAAAACTACATTTCTACACGACAGAAACAAGACTTGAGACATATTTAAGGAACTAGCTATAACCTGATGTAGTCTTGTCTCAAAACATCACAGTAGGTGAGGAAGGGGCCTGGAGAGAATTTTCAGTGGCCTAGAGTTACTGTTGCTCTTGCAGAGCTTCTGAGCTCTATTCGCAGCACCCACACGGGAAACATACAGTTTCCTGTTATGCTGATTTCAGGAGGTCTGACCTTTTCTGACTTCATCAGACACCACAAACACACACACACACACACACACACACACACACAAAGATAAGATAAAATGCATGTTAGCCAATTATTGTTTACATTTTGTGTATCTAGTACTACATGATGACATATTTTCTAGCAGTAATGAATTCTTCTGTTTCTCCTGTGAAACCTTTACAATTTGACGCTCATCACACACCTGAAAAAGCCATTTTGTTATACATAGTGAATGCCTCATTGAGAAAACCCAATGTATATAACAATTTTAAACTAAAGGGGTGGCTGAAATGTGGTTGGAGAATAGTGAATTTTGATTAAGAAGGTGGCGTTTCATCATTTCCCTTCTCCCCTTAGGTCTGCCATCTGTAAGTGATATTTAGCTTACTGAGGATCAAAAGAGGCAGAGGTATAGCATTCCTGAGAATTCTCCTACACTCTAGGGATAGTGTTTATTTTATTTACAAATAAAATGCATTGTGTTACCTGTATTCACAGAACCTGTGTCTACATAAATCCTTGCACAGAAGGATCCCAACAAAAATCCAGTCAAAGGACCAATGATCTTTCCTGTTTCCAAAATCCCTGGAAGTAAACAAAGAGATGAATTTATTTATTTTTATTTATTATTTTTTATTTAAAATATTTTTTCTTTATTAATTACACTTTATTCACTTTGTATCCCCCCTGTGGTTCCCTCCCTCCTCCCGTCCCAATCCCTCCCTTCCTCCATCCTCTGCATCCACTCCAGATGAGACCTAATTGACTAGGGTCAGAAGGAAGGAAAAGAAGACCTCCCCTATCAGTGGACTTGGGGAGGGGCATGTATGAAGAGATGAATGTAAATGAACACACAAAAAAATCTGCTTATACACACACACACACACAAATGCCTTGAGATTGATTTATTTTTAACCTTATTTTTTTCCTTCTTTTGCAGAGATGGGCATCAAATCCAATAGGCCAGGCAAGTGATTTACCAATAAGTTATTCTCCCCACTATCTCAAATACTTTTACATATTCAATGTATAAAGAAATTAAGCTTGGTATGTATGCAACATGTACATATATGTGTTACATGTACATATATGTGTTACATGTACATTGTTATTACAATATTGAAAAAGGAGCTCTAATTGTTTCGTTTTAAATGTTCCCTAGAACCTCATCTGTTATAGACTTGTTTCACTGGAATCTAATAGAATCCTTCCCATGCAGGGCATGGTGGTGTGTCTTCAGGCCATATGGGCTAGAACCATAGCTCCTTCTTCATTCTCTTTTGCTTCCCAGTCATAAGATGGATTGGTTTTACTACATACATCCTTCCACCATAATGAGCTCCCTCATTGAAAGCCTCCAAACCTCATAGTCCAGGAACATAGACTAAAATCTCCAAAACTGTGAGCCAAGTTAATCATCTCTCTTACTATAAACATCCTCAGGTATTTACTAAAGTGAAAGGAAGTTGACTGACATAGAAGCTTCCTTACTTAGACACTTTCCAAATTATCTTTTATGCTGCGTTAAAGCCAAGGCTGAACTATCACAGGCAGCCCCATCAAAGCATCAAAGCATGATGTGAGCAAAACCTCTGATATGTCCATAGCCATGTTTTCAGTGCCTATTTGATTCTTAGCTTTCATTGTCAACTTGACACAATTATTTAAATAGAATTACTTGGGTGTAGTGTCTCAGTAGATTATTGTCTTCATTGGAGTTTCCATTGGACATGTCAGTAGGAGACTCTCTTAATTAAGTAAATTGATGTGAGAAGACTGAGTCCACTGTGGGCAGAACCACTCCCTAGGCAGGGAGCCCTGAAGAGCACAAAAATGGAGAATCTCTCCTGAGCCATCCCCACCAACAGAAAATCGAGATATAAGCAACTTCAACTTCTTTCCTTCATTTTAGATTTTGTCTTTTCCTCTTTCTCCATGGATCTATATGTTAGTCCTCCTCTGTGTGCCTGGCTTCTTAATACCAAACCCTTCAATCTTCCTTGGTCTCTCAAACTCTCCCTGCTGTTTTATGCACTCTGTGCAATGATTCCTACAAGATCTCCAGCCTCCATTGACTTCTTTCCTGCCTTACAGTGCCTTGATTCCTTGCCTCTCATAGTGCTCAGATGCTTTCCCATTCTAAGGTGCTCTCTTGGAACGACCAGTGACCTCCATCATGAATCACTTCCTCTACTATTAATCTTTATTTTTCTTAGCTTACTTGACATTGTTGTCTTTTGGGGGTTGCTGTGGCACAATAAATTCTCATCCTAATTACTGGCCCCAAGATCTGTTGCTGTCTAGAGGAAAATCTCACATACATCTGTCTTTGTGTAAACCTTGTCTAAGAAATTATTCCTGTTTGACCAATAAAATGCCTGTATCTAGGAAGGGCCAAAGGAATGAAGGTATTACAAAAGTTCTTGGGCTTTGGAAACAAAAGGATCTTGGGGCAAAGAAGTAGAGAGATTTTGGAGGAGGAAGGAATCAGGGAGCCATTATGGGTTAACATGGAGAGAAGCACAAGGCCAATTTGGCAAGGATGAAAGAAATTGGCCCAGATGAGGATCATTAGCGAGTATCTTAGGGTTATGGGTGGGAGGTAGCCCAAATAGAAATTATTAGAGCACATGGCATGGGATGGAGGCTTGGAAGATAGATAACTTAGGAGGTAATATCTACTATACCCAAGGTGATACAAGGCTATTCTAAAATCTATCAGCTGTCTGAATCTTTTATTGATTATGATAGCAGGTTAGATAATAATTATAGTGTTAATAATAAACAGGATTAGACCATACCATTAAATTAACCTCAACAGTTGTCCAGCTCCTCATCTGTTAGCTTCCTTCTAACACTTTTTCCAAACTATATGTTCACAGTTTACTTTTACCATGGATGCTCCTTGTTTGGCTTTTCCTCCTCTCACTCTGTGCACTAAGTAGAAGAGTCCCCAGTACGTGGACTTATGGATTCTCAGTACTTATGTCTTTCCATAAGCAACTGCATTTCTTCTATATTTAACTTATTGTCTAGCATAGATATCTCTCGTTGTTATATTTGGCTTCTATATCCTTTCAGCTACAGAACCATATATAGAACTATATTCTTGTTTTTTGATTATACATCTACATACACATATAAAATATTGATATAATTATATGGCTTTTAATTTAGAAAACTAAGTTTTGTATAATAAATATAAGATACTTAAAATGTACTGAGAAATTTGGTTTCCTTAAAAAAAAAGTTATGTTATGAGATTATGCTTTTGTTTTAATTCCAGATGTGGGAAATGGAGCTGCTTCAGATTGTTCACACAAGCAAACTGTGGTTTGTCTTGTGCTCTGGCAGGGCTGTGATTCTATGAGCTACAGATAGTTTAGGTTTGAAATTCTAGGGACTCTTCAGAGGGTGAATAAAAGTCAGAGCCCTCAGTGAAGTAATGGCTGCTGTGCCCTTTGCAGCTGCTTACTGATTACTGTTTGCTGGATTACTGTTTGCTGTTTGGAAATATCCTGGCCAAGATTAACTTTCCCCAAGGAACTCAGGCCCTTAATCTGCAGCAAGTAGTTTATGATAATGATGTCCCCTTTTCCCCTCTAATCTTCTTTCTCCTCTACCTAGTGCTAGGATGTTGGGAAGGTTAGGGGTGGTGTAGGGAAGTAGGAAAAAGAACCCAATAAAGTAGCCAAAGGTCTAGCTACAACGCAACTTATATTTTAATATAGTTATATATTTTATATATGTATGTATATATCTATCTCTAGAGTTTTGATAAACAGATCCATTTTAACAGCTTATAATAAAAAATTGCTTGTAAATTTTTTCTCATGTCTTGTAAGGTATCTGAAGAGAATGGCAAGATTAACAATATAAAAAGAATGATGCCAAACTAATAAGTTTCAAAAAATGACATTTTTATTTAAAAATATCTTGATTAATTCTAACTCTATTCTTGCTTTTCTTAACCACTTTGAGCTTTTGTTTGTTTTTTTAGTGATATGTCTACATTAATGGAAAAATATCATATCTAACATTACTTCTCAATCTTCCTAATGCTTTGGACACATGTGGTAACCCTCAACCATAAAGTTATTTTTGTTGCTCCGTCATAACTGTAATTTTCCTAACATAATGAACGGTAATACAAATATCTATGGTTTCAGGTGCTCTTATGCCACCCCTGGGAAAGGGTCACTTGAGCCCCAAAAGGGTTGTGACCCACAGGTTTAAAATCACTCCTATATACAGTTACAGACTGGTAATCAACTATGGATGGATATACTCAAGAACATAAGCAAATTTTTCATAATAACCTCACAGTGTTTAGGAGACAACAAAAGAAGATGGATACTAAGTTGCCTCCTGCCTGAAAAATGCATAGATTTTTATGAGAATTCCAAGAAATACAAACAAACAAATAAACACAGATATTTGTTAAAATGGTAAAAAAAAGGCTGTCTTTGCTGAGGAGTTATAGGGCAGGAAACTGTATTATTAACTTCATAGAGAAGCAGGGTGCAGAGCCCCCAGTATTAAAGCAAACAGCTGGTAAATGAGAAACCATTTGGCATGGTAAACATGAGAAGACATGCTTACTACAGTTCCTGGTAAGGCTTGGTCTGCAATTATGCATAAGACAACATGACAAGGGAAACCTTACAGGGCCAACCAGATACCTCAGCAGGTAGAGGCCTTGTACCAAACCTGGCCTGAGAACAACACTTTAATCCACAAACGTCTTCTGAACACCACATTAACATGCAAGTGCATACATGCGCACACACACACACACACACACACACACACACACACTCACAGACAGAAACAGAGAGAGGAAAGAAGAGAAAAAGTAAAACTCAATTTTAAAGTACTACAGACACAAAAATGGCCAATATGAAAGTCACAATAAATTAGAGGTGAAAGAACCTAAAAGCAGCAAAAATACAATAAATAAATAAATCTAAGCAAGATTTTCCAGAAAATATTGGGGAATCTTTTAATGATTTTCAGATAGTGTGGTGGTATGAAAGGACTCCCCAACAGTGAGAAGCAGTGTGATGAAGTGACTGTTCTGGAGCCCCTATAAAATTCCCCATTGAACATCCAAATGACCTACAGTGTGTAGCACTCTGCTCACTCTCTGGAAACCACAAAGACCCAAAAATACAATTTATTTCTACCCTCCTAAGGGTGATTTTCGTTCTTACCAATGTATAAGGGAGAACTTTCTGATTTGGCAAAATCTTCTATGTAGGAAATACCCAAAGGCATGATGGGAGTTTCACCAATTCCACGTATAAAATTGCCTACCATTACACATATCCACGTTAATGATTTAATTTCTTTCACACACTCTGCATTAAAATAGTAGAAAACCACATGAGTATTAAGTATTACTGACAGTTAATTCAAAATTTTCTGTAAACATACAGCATATCAGTGTTATATTACAGCAACAGAAAACCAATTATTTAGATCATATCATGTGTCTAAATCTATCCTTCTAAGTCATTTTTCCTGTTAAGACTAAACCTATGTTGTTGCTTAAGAAACAAAGAAGTCTTTCTCCTTCTGGGATATTTCACTCAGAATGATCTTTTCTAGATCCCACCATTTGCCTGCAAATTTTATAATTTCCTCCTTTTTGATTGCTGAGTAGTATTCCATTGTGTAAAAATACCACAAGTTCTGTATCCACTTCTCTGTTGATATAATCGCTAATATAGACCTATAAGATATGGTAAACATAATGAAATCTATACACCTAAAAATGATAATCAAGAGAGCAGACACGGATAAGATAATCAATCCTCTTTTAGAAAGACAGATGGGATGTGCATTGAATGTATGACAGGAGTCTATCACAGAAGGCATCTGAAAGACTCTACTTAGCAGTGTTTCAAAGCAGACACTAAGACTCATAACCAAACCTTTGGCAGAGTACAAGGAATCATAAGAAAGAAGGGGAATTAGTCTGATGGGGAAAGGATAGGAGCTCCACAAGGACCAAATATATCTGGGCACAGGATCTTCTCTGAGATTGACATTCAACCAAGGACCATGTATGGATATAACCTAGAACCTCTGTTCGGATGTAGCCCGTGGTAGCTCAGTAACTAATTGGTTTCCCATAGTAAGGGGGATAAAGACTATTTCTAACGGAAACTCAGTGGCTGGCTCTTTGACCTCCCCACCCCCCAAGGGAGGAACAGTCCTGTTAGGCCACAGAGGAGGACTTTGCAGACCTGATAAAACAGGGTCAGATGAATGGGGAGGAGGTCCCCCCCATCAGCGGACTTGGAAAGGGGAAGAGTAGAGAGGATGGAGGGAGGGTGGGATTGGGAGGGAAAGAGGGAGCAGGATACAGCTGGGATACAGAGTTAATAAAATGTAACTAATAAGAAAAAATAAAAATTAAAAAAGATAAATAAAAAAGAAACAAAGAAGTCTTAATATGCACATTTAATCTCAGGGCAGAGAGTATTCTAGGTTATTAGCCAAATCCCATCACTGAAGGAGGTAATAAATTTTGTTCATTTGTCTCACATGTCTACCATACCCACTGTCATATTCAAAGCCTTTCATAAAGGAGTATTCTGCGGCTGAGCCTCTGATCAGAAAGCCATAAGAAGCACTGGTCAACCTGCTGGGTCTTGTGTTGGCTTTAAGGTCTGGGTTCTGTTTTCCATACACAGGAAGCTGTTTGAGGACAAGTTGCTTGCAGGTGAAATCGTTGTTTCATATTCATATCTGTGTGGACACGGGAAACATTCACTGTCAGGAGCTGAGTGGAAGGAGAGCATCTGCAGATTAGTGACCCCTGCTTCCCTGAAGACACATCCAGAGCCAGTAGAGACATGTTTACACAGCGGTCACTCTCATCACCATAAGTCCTATGGTGGGGCCAGCGAGATGACTCAGCAGGTCAAGCACTTGCTGCACATGCCTGAACACCTGAGTTCAATCCCCGAAACCCACATAAGGGCAGAAGAAAAGAAGGAGTCTATAAATAGTCTTCTTATCTACACACACAAACACACAAATAAATAAATATAGAAATCTGTATCCTTAGGCTACACAGGTAGGTCTGGTGTTAAGTTCCAGATCTACATGAACTGGCTGTGGTGTCCCCTGACTGTCACCAAAGCACTTGAGAGGCAGAGAGGAGACTCAGAACCACAAGGCTACCCTCAGCTACACAGCAAGCTTGAGGGCAGCCTGGGCTTCATTAGATCTTGTCTCAAAACAAACAAATCAAAAACCTGAATGAATAAATGAATGAATGAATTCAAGTAAGTAATCAGTTTCATTAAGAAAACTTGATAGTCACCAAAAAGTGTGTCCATTCTTTACACTTAACTCTCAAGTCTCTACAGGTAGGTAACAAAGTTTTCATATTCTCAAATGTCACCCTGTGTGATTTCTAAATGACTATTTCCTAGGAATAATTGGTGTGAAATAAAGAGCAAAAGCCAAAAACAAGAGCATTAATAAAATAGAATTAAAAATATAAAAGTTTAGAAAGACACAAGCAACAGAAAACAAGACACCTGCTCTGGGTTCTCTGTGCTGTGGTCCTATCCTTCCTTTCTGAGAATTCTAACAACTGTTCTTCCATGTGATCATTAACCCCAACAAAACAAAAAATACAGACATCATAATGAGAGGTGACAGAATTCACCAACTGTCAACACAGTGTCTCTAATAAACTGTGGTCCTCAACTTGAGCAAATTAGAGTGAATGGAATTTTATGTAAGAAGTGGGAAATAGTAAGAGCTGGAGAGGACAGGAACTCCACAAGGAGAACAACAGAACAAGAAAATTTGAACACAGGGAACTTCCCAGAGACTCATACTCCAACCAAGGACTATTCATAGAGATAACCTAGAACCCCTGCACAGATTTAGCCCATGGCAGGTCAGTGTCCAAGTGGGTTACCTAGTAATGGGAAGAGGGACTGCCTCTGACATAATCTGATTGGCCTGCTCTTTGATCACCTCCCCCTGAGGGGGGAGCAGCCCTACCAGGCCACAGAAGAGGACAATGAAGCCACTTTTGACTAGAACTGATAGACTAAAATCAGAAAGGAGAGGAGAACCTCCCCTATCAGTGGAATTGGGGAGGGGCATGCATGCAGAAATGGGAGGGAGGGTGGGACTGAGAGGGGAAGAGGGAGGGGCTTATGGGGGGATACAAAATGAATAAAGTGTAATTAATAAAAAATAAAAAAGACAAAAAAAAAGATTCTCTTAGAAAGAAAATGACCAAATTCAGGCGTAGTAGAAAATGTGTTCAGCTAAGTCTTTCCCATTGTAGAGTACACTTTATTTATTTCAAAGACTTTGCTAGATGAAAGACAACCAGAGGAAAACACAGGCTGCTAAATTCTGTATGATGAGGGCGCTTTACTTGCCAACATTATAATTTCTATGCTGCATGCTATACCACAAAACGCAGAATAACTCTTCCTTAGAACAACTTCCTGGAAATCCCCACAGAGTTGTTCAGTGAACTTGGAAAAGGGCCTGTGTCTCTCTACTCGTGAGCCCATGAGAATAGGACAGATTCAAAGAATTATCACCTTCGACAGAAAGTGGGAAAGCACGATAATAGTCTAATATTTCTTGACACTGATTAGAAGAAAAAAAAACAATTTTTAAATTCTATCCACAAACTTTCAGATCCTTTAAAATACCTTAGAAGATAAAATAAACTTCATTTGATCCATTAACTACTTAAAACTCAATTATTCATTCAAGGTCCATTTAATCCCCCAAATACCAATAAAGTGGCAGTTAAAAAAATTTTTTAAGTCTCTGGGAGGACCCCTGTGTTCAAATTTCTGGTTCTGTTGCTCTCCTTGTAGAGTTCCTGTCCTCTCCAGATCTCACTATTTCCCATTTCTTACATAAGATTCCATGCAGACTGCCCAACAGTTGGCCATAAGTCTCAGCATCTGCTTTGATAGTCTGCAGGGCTAAGCCTTTTTTTTTAAATAACTCTAGCCTTTGTGTGACTACTTACAGCTGTTCAGTCCGTCACTTACAAGGTCATGCATTGAATCACTGGGTAGTTCAAGCTTCTTTATTTTTCTTTCTTTTTTTTTATTAATTACACTTTTGGGAGGGGAGAAGGAAGGGGGTTATGAGAGGGCTGAGACTTTTAGAGGCCCTCTGTGGCAGGTTCCCAGCCTGTTTCCTGTTTTCTTCATACTCCAAACAAGTACCATGCATGGAGATAACCTAGAACCCCTGCACAGATGTAGCCCATGGTAATTTAGTGTCCAAGTGGGTTACTTGGATTGGCCTGCTCTTTGATCACCTCACCCTGAGTAGGGAGCAGCCTTACTAGGCCACAGAAGACAACAATGCAGCCACTCCTGATGAGATCTGATAGACTAACATCAGAAGGAAGGAAGGAGAGGAGAACTTCTCCGATCAGGGGACTTGGGGAGGGGCATTTGTGAAGAAGGGGAAGGAGGGTAGGATCAGGAAGGGAGGAGGAAGGGGCTTATGGGGGAATACAAAGTGAATAAAATGTAATTAGTAATTTTTTTTAATTTAAATGGCGTGGAGGGAAGGAAGCCCAACCTCACAGATAAAAAGATGTAGATATGAAGAGGTGGCTCAGCTGGTCATTGGGGCCTGGCAAGCAACAGTCCCATGTTTGACCATGAGCACTGAATAACACCAGGCATGGGGCGAAATTCCTGCAATCCCAGCACTCAGGTGATGTAGATAAGAGGATCAGAAGTTCATAAATATCCTTAACTATAGAGTAAGTTTGAGAGTACCATGAGGCAAATGAAACTTTCTTCAAAAGTAAAAAATAAAAAAGGCTTATGATATAGCAGATGCCTCTATGGGTAAAGATGCTTATTATGTGCAAGCCAGGTCCCACAGGTAGAGAGGATTGACTTATAAGAGTTGTTGCCTGACCTCTCTTGGAAGTACACACACACAAACAAACACACATCCCACTACAGTAAGATATATAAACAAAATAACTAAAAAGAAAACAGAAAACTGTAAGTATGAGATTGAAAGTGTAACCAAGTTAAACTCAATAAAATTTTGATACTGGAACATAGATAAGCAAATGGCCACTGAATCAGAAGGTAAGGGAAATGGAACCATCACTTTTCTGGGAACAGTAGTATATTCCAGGTTTCCTTGGAAACCTGAAAAAAGAGGCTCCCAATTCAGGGCCCAGGTAGGTACACAAAAAGCAATCTAAAGTGGTGGTTAAAGTGCACAGACAGAATACCTAGATCCTCCATCTCCCCAAGTGTAAGAGGATTCAAAGAGGTACACTGAGGACACAGATACCAGAAAGGAGGGTCATTACATTTTTAACTCTGCATAATAAAAGGTAATATTCCCATTCATCTCTGGCTGCTAGCCAGGTTTCCACCTATTTAGCAAGAGCAGGGAATTTTTTCCTAGGATCGCAAGTTACACACCCTTCAGAGACAACTAAGAATCAGCCGGCCCCTGCTCAATCTCCTGTTGACTCAACCTACTAAAAAGCATACAACATTAAAAAAAACAAAATACAAAAAACAAACAAACAAAAAAAAAAAAAAACGTAAGGAAAACTCCTATTAGCTAAGTCTGCACTTGCATATAGAATTCCCAGGTAAGTTTCTGTTGTTATTGTCTCTTAGTATGAACAAATAGTCAAGACCATCATGGGGAAAATCTATTACAGTGAAATCAAAGAAAAACTACACTTGAAGGAGCCAGGGACAAGGGGCACAGATGAAGAGTCACACAGGAAAAGATACTGAATTCTTGAGAAAACAACAAGTTTCCTCAGAAGAAATTATCAAGGAGAAAACAGTATAAGAAACTTTGCAAAATGTCCTGACCTAACACACCTGATTGAGGTAGCAAAGGACTTATACCAATAGATATCAGCTTTAGACTACACAGCCAGAAAAGAAACCTGTCACCAGAGTTAGAAATTGGCTACCAATGAGTCAAAGTCCTGCTTGGACCTTGATGGGTCCAAGGATCAAGAGAAAAATAGCGGGCTCTTGAACCTTGGCCTTCAGACTGGAGGGCCTACACCTTGCTGACTAAGCTATTCAGGTTCTCTTGTTCCCCTTCAGCAAGGGCTGCTTTCTCTGGCTAAAAACTGCCAGTGTGTAAAAGCAGGCTGTAAAAAAGGCGTAGCCATAAAGAAAAATTCTTGACTCTTGCTTCAAAGTGCCTCCATGGCTCAGAACTTATTAACTCTATGTGAGCCCCTGGAAAAGGAAAAAGAAAGAGAAAATTCTCATTCATTCACATACACACATTCTTTCAACAAATAGGACAAAAAAGCTCTCATAATACATGCTCATACTTACAGACAAACAAATTATAAATACATACGTGTGCTCATACTTATAGACATACACATATAAATATGTATATACATACATACATACATACATATAGACAATCTACACAGACAGCTAGATGTGCAGATATATACACATCTGGATAGGTAGATCCCAATGGGTCCCAACCCGCAATCTTTATTCTTTGTGTTTAGCCCCTTTTTATACCATCTATGATAGTCTTGACATCTGAAGCAAAATACTTTCACAGCCATAAAAGCAATTATCATAAAATTCATTACACAGGAGAATTATTGATTATGTGTTTCTCCATTAATATTTAAAATGTCTTACTTGTGCATTCATTAGGACAACAGTCTTTCATGGAAAAGGTTGACAGTTTTTAAGGTTAACAGAGTCCAAGGGGTAATAGCAGGCAATTGTTTATATGACTTTCCATTAAGGCGCACTAATTAATCATCTTTCTGCTATTTATGAGTTCACAGAAAATTTAAGGTAAAATTTTCATTTGTTCTACTGCACATTGAGACCTGACCTAAAGGAAATATTACCTTGGTCATAAATCTGCATCAAGCCCAGCCTCACCCTGGTGAAGCTTACATGTCAGTGACAAGCAAGGATTCACAGATCTCTACTAGTTTTTGCTACTAGGCAGCAGGAGATTGAATCAAATCAGTAATTCTATAAAATCACTATCAGGAATTATGAAATCGTCAGTTCCTCTAAACAGCATTATCACATGGATTATTATTCAATTTAATCTGCAGGAAATCAGCCCAACATAGTGAAGCAAATAGTCCAGAGTGTAGGCAGTGTGGATTTCTCGATGCCATGCCTGATATATGAGAGACACAGCAATGACAAGCATGGAAAGGCAATCAAAAGCAAGAACCAATCTAGAGACAACCTCTTGAGAGCCATTACTACTAGCACTCACCCATTGTAGACTTTGCCAAAAAAAAAAAAGTGGGCCAACTCTAGGAAGCTCACTTGTTTGCCTCAGGTCCATCCCTGCATGACTGGCTATGGACAAGCCTTGGAATACTAATTCTAATTTCAACTCCCACAACCTTTGAGACAATGTCTTCAAAGTACATAGAGAATTTCTTTCTCTTTAGATAGAAGTATGGGAGAGTAAACAGAGAAACAGAAGGCAGGATGCTCTTCCAGTGAATATCTAAGAGCAAGATAGTGGTAAAGCAAGTTGTGGTGGTGAGAGACCAAAAGATTAAAAATCAGTGGCTATTATTTTAAAGTTTAAAGCACTGGCTTGAACTAAAGCCAGCCAGGTGGAGATATGTCTAGCCAGCTCAGGAAGGGCTAGCCTTAACTCCCTGAGGGAAAGAACTAGCCTTACTGCAGTCTATTCCCCACCCACTAAAGACATAGTTGCTAGGAAATTGGCCCATTCCCTTAGGAAGGAACACCAGACCATTGGTTTGGGGGCCTTCTTATAGCCAATCAATTCAAAACGCAACATCCCTTTTGTGTTTCCACCAATAGATGCTTGCCAGGCAGAAATCCTGGGCATGCTGGGAGGGACCAGAATCTTTAAATCACTCAAGTAACCAGAGCACAAGCCTCTCAGCTATCACCACTTAGGAGGTGGGGATGTGAGCCCAAGCTGCAGCTTGTAATAAAAAGATCCTCATGTGTTTTGCAATCTACTCGACTCCTGGTAGTGGTCTTTGGGGTATCGCGATTCAGGCATAACAGTGGCTCATCCTTGTAGTACCAAACATGGAAGGCTAACACAGAAGGATCACCAAGAGTTTGAGGCAAACCTGAGGTACATATTAAATTTCAGACAAGGCTGAGCTGTATAGCAAAACCTTATTTCAAAAGGAAAAGCTGAACAGGACTGAAGAGATTGCTCAATTTTTAAAAGCACTTGCTGCTCTTGAGGAGAACCTGAGTTCATTTTCCAGCCCACACATGGTAGTTGACAACCATCTGCTAACTCCAGGTTCAGGGTATCTGACACTCTTTTCTGATCTCTGGGCACACCATAAATGCATATGGTCCACACTATTTTTGGGGGCAAAACAATTATAAAACACATAAAATACATGGAAAAAAAAGCTTAAAAACAAAAGTAAAATGAAAAAAAAAGAAAGAATGAAAAACTAGAGAGTGGAGGCAGGAGGAAGAGGAAGATGAGAGAAGGAAGTAAAAATTTTATAATCAAAAGAATGATGGAGAATTTTTTTAAAATGGCATGGAGATGGCCTAGAGGTTCAAAGTTCAGAGGGAGGTGAAGTACAATAAATGAATTAAGGGGGCTAAATATTAAATGTAAATAATTAATTTCTATAACAAAGAATACCATGATTCTAGGGTAGAAAATATTTTATAGGATGCAAATATAAATAATAAATTTTGTATAGCATTTACATTAAATTATTGAAAACTATGAGACACAAGGGTGAACAGAAGAACAAAAAAACTGTCCCCAGAAAGCAGAAAGGGAGTAATAGATAACTCAACAAAATTTCATTTTGCAACTTTCTGTGTTAGTTGCTATGGTAAACAGGCAAAAAAAATCAGCCTTGTCACTGGTCTATCTCTTGGTGACCTGCAACTATGTCAAACTATAGACCACCTGTAGCCAAAGTATCAAAATGGTACTGATAAAGGACTCAGCACAAGGTTTGGTTGACTCCAAGAATCCATTCATGTGTTTCAATTTTGTAAAGAGATGTCCCCACTTCACAAATGGACTGGATGGAACCTTGAATAGACCTGAGGCCACTAGAGTCACAAATTGGCAGGCCAAACACTACATCTTCTAATTTCCAAATTAACCTTTTGTACATCGAGGGAGCACTACTCCTCCTAGGGAGGAATTCTGAGCCTCATTTCCTGTAAGTAAAAGTTAAACCTAAATTATGATCAAGGACTGGAATACTCACCTGCCCATGAGGAAATGAGGTAGTGATATTAAGAAACACCCTAGGCCCATAATTGCACATCCAACACCAATCATGATAGGTCTGTGAATTTTCCTTCCGAAATAACTCACGAATATTATCAACAAAAGGTTTCCTGGATAGGGGAATGAAAATGTTTGTTTATATAAAGTATTGGTAGCTGTTAGTCAATAGCCTCTCTATCACTTACACTCTAGGCTTCATTGTTTAACGACTACCTTAAGAGTGCAGGAATGGGTGCCTAGGTAAAGCAATTGTGAAACTGAAGGAAGTTTCTCCTCCTCTCTGGAGAATACTTAAGCTCTGTTCTGGATTATCCTGCCCTTGGGAAACACACACACACAAAAAAAAGTGAGTTTAAAAGAACCAAATACTTAAATAAGTTCTTGGCAAACTACATATTTTTAAATGATGAGTATGTTTACCCTGATCATATTATGCATAAAGGAAAGATAAGAAAAATTAGACACTTTTCACTAATGATAGCATAATTCTAAGTGATCTTACATATTTGAGAGATATATGAAGACTTTTTATTTCTTCCAATTCTCTTTCTCTCTAGTCTACTATCTAAGCAGAAGAGAATTTGCAGAATTTTGAATGTTGTGTGCCCTACCTTTGTCTTCTTATTACACCCTCTCTGTCATTGACTTCATCATGCAAAAGGTAAAATTGCAGGATATCCACAGTTTGAACTCTGTGCATATTTCTAGCATACAGCTGTATCCCCTCTGAATGCACAGGATGTTGTCAGAAATATTTTTTGGTTGAAAGGAAAAAAGTCTCTGCTCTCATTAGCCTGAGTTTACCTCTTACATTGCCTTGGTATGCCCCTCAAATAATCCATGGAAGAGGTAAGATGTGGTCCATTCTACGGTCAGGTTGCTTGTAAACTACTTGGGGAAATGCTCACCAAATACTGTTATCATTGATCAATGTGAATTGCATCCTCTCACAATTGTTTCTACTTAAGACTTCCCCTTAAGTCACCTGACACAACTAGTGGTAATATGAATAGTTAATATTTTCTACTTAACCAGAAAACCTTTAGTCTGAAATCCAGGAAGTTCACAGAAATTAGTGTTTTCAAAAAAATGAATAAAAATAATAAAGTTTTTCATGAGCTTGAACAAAAATTGTTTTCAATAATCATTAACAGGGCATTATCATTTCTGTTCATAGTAAAGTAGAATACAGTAGTGACATGATAAATCCTGATTCATACACCAATAAAAGTATAATGTGGAGGGGCTCAGCCCTAACATACATCTTTAACCCAAAAGCTTTCTGTTTCTTGTAAACAAGGATTTATGATGTCGCTCAGGTCTAGTACACACCATTAGCACAAGAGTTTTCTTTTTGTTGTAAACAAAGAGGTGTGGTGTCGATCAGATGTAGCACACACTTTTATAGAGATTTCTGTAAACAAAAGCTAAATAAATCCAATTATATGTCAAGAGGCAGAACAGGCAAACAGTTGACAAGGTTGAACATAAGAAAACAAAGGAAGGAGGGATTGGAGGGTTCCATGGTATTTAAGACAGTGTGAAGACAAAGGAAGGACTTTTCCTTCTGTGATGTTGGTTGAGTAGGGAGGTCAATCATATGCTTTCTCTGCTCAGTAGACTTCCACACCAGCATCTGGCTCCTGAGTCTTTATTTGTAAAATGGAACATTAGGATTTTGCTTGAAAAGCAACAGTATAAATACTGGCATAGGATGTCATTGTTGTCATAAAACTACAAAATACTATGGAGCCAATAATCACTTGAAAATCAGATTTAAATGCTATTTACCTTGTTGTTAAAAACACAAAGATTACTGTCAGACAGGCTGTTTAAATGTTCTGATAATTTCACTTCAGTGTAACCAACTTTCTGTTCACCTCTACAGCTTAATTGTGTGCAATTAAATATGATCCTGAAATTTCACTGTGTTTTCAAAAAGAGTCCTCTGCATAGAAAAATCAATATCCACTCCTGACCCCATACTGGCTTTCTGCCATCTGAATTATAAAAATCACACAACACAGCAAGCTACAGACTCTATAAATTTCTCATCCCTGTACATCTTTCCATGCTCATGTTATAATTTTCCTTAAAACTGGGATGACTTCATCCCCAAATGATTTGACACTTTACTCTCTGAACAGAGATTTCCTGAACAAATTTTCCTTTCACATTTACCTGTCCATTTCTTTGCCGGGAAAACTTTAACTCCTTCAAGAATGTCTCCCATAGCAAAACTGTGTCCTTTAGAAACCTGTAAAACCAATGCTCCACACTTGCTTCATATAGCACATTGAACGTGAGGAGAATCTGTGTAGTGCCTATGTAAGACATTCATCCTGCCTCCTACTGGAGGTCTAGAACATAAGTGCAATAGTAAACACTAAAGAGCTTGACCCTGGGAGGCAGGACAGAGCATCCTCAGTGTGGGTGAGTTAATTTTCAATCCTAAATCTCTTTGCTGTTTTGATCACAATTTCACCATGAAAGAGGTAAAAACTATTATTAAACTAGAGAAAGGAGATATCAAGTCTTCCAGGCCACCTTGTTTATGGAGGGAATCTTTCCCTCCTTCACCCATTGTAATCTTATATCCCAGTTCATCACCCAAAAGTAGGAGTTGGAGTTCATCCGCTCTTCTTAGGAATTGTGTCTGATGCAATTCAGACACAAGAAAGCTTGCTAATCTCCCCTAGTAACTAAGAGTGGAGAGCCATCAAGCTCACAGACACAGTAGAATAATAGAAATACTTGCTCTCTCATTTGTAACATAAGTTCCTCCAAGCTGCCACAGCAACATTCTAACAATGCAGGAAAAGAACCCTTAGCTTCTCTTTGGGTTATCAAATGGTAGAATTAGATGTTAATACTCCTAATACTCTACCCTCATCAGAATAAAGGACTCTATCAGAATGTGTGGCAATAATTATTTGCCATCATGAGGATATTTAAATAGGGAGCTTTTTCACAACAAACCAGGCTATGCAATCAATTATCAGGAAGCACATAACTCAGACTATATACTCTAATGCAGGAAATAAGGATAAACTATTAATATATAAAAATAAGTAAATGTAAAAGTAACTCACCCATCTCAAAGCTCCCACTGATAACTCCAACTGTTGATGTGGGGAGACTGAATTGTCTCTCTATTTGTGTGAGCATGGAATTCATATAAGCTCCTGATAGTCCTTTGGCTAGATATGCACATGTTAATGCCAACAGAAATATCTAGGAAGAAGATAATTAAGAAAAATTGAGAACATTGTTTTCCACATATACATCTGCCATCAATTGGCAAAACAGCTTCTATCATGAGATAGAGGATTGTGTCCAACTCAAACAGACCTTGAACCTACAGGAAACTTCAAAATGTAATCTCTCCTCTGTTACAATATCCTCACTCTGGAAAAGCAGTTATAATAGTTTGTTATTGGTGGTGAAGTTTCTCAATAGATATGGCTTTGCTCTTTAATAGTGTACGTTATTCATACAGAAAGACATGGAGTTGTGACATGGAGTTATTCTGTGGAAGACACAGTATTGATGAGACTTCAGCATTGTACTGTATCTGCAGGACAAGTGTTGTTCCTTTAAAGGAAGGAAAGGAACAGAACACAGAATTACACCAGGACATTGTTTCTGCATCAAGGCTGCTATGTTCTCTCTGCAGGGATGACAGGTCTCTGGATGTCCTGGGACAGTTTGATACTCAGTCCTCTCTTTCAACATTCTTTTTTTAAATTTTTTAATTTTTATTATTAGCTACATTTTATTAACTCTGTATCCCAGCTGTATCCCGCTCCCTCATTCCCTCCCAATCCCACCCTCCCTCCTTCATCTCCTCCCTGCCCCTTTCCAAGTCCACTGATTGGGGAGGACCTCCTCCCCTTTCATCTGACCCTGTTTTATCAGGTATCTTCAGGACTGGCTGCAAAGTCCTCCTCTGTGGCCTAACAGGACTGCTCCTCCCCTTGGGGGGTGGGAGGTCAAAGAGCCAGCCATTGAGTTCCTGTCAGAGATAGTCCCTGTTCCCCTTACTATGGGAAAACAAATGGTTACTGAGTTACCATGGGCTACATCTAAGCAGAGGTTCTAGGTTATATCTATTCATGGTCCTTGGTGGAGTATCAGTCTCAGAAAAGACCCCTGTGCCCAGATATATTTGGTCCTTGTGGAGCTCCTATCCTTTCCATGTCATACTAACTCCCCCTTCTTTCATATGATTCCCTGCACTCTACCAAAAGTTAGGTTGGGTCTTAGTATCTGCTTTGATACACTGCTAAGCAGAGTCTTTCAGGGACCCTCTGCAGTAGGCTCCTGTCCTGTTACTTGTTTTCTCCTATATCCAATGCACATCCCATTTGTCTTTCTACGTGAGGATTGATCATCTTACCCTGGGTTCTCTTTCTTGTTTATCTTCTTTAGGTGTATAGATTTTGTTATTTTTATCATATCTTATAGGTCTATATAAGTGAGTATATACCATGTGTGTCTTTCTCCTTCTGTGATACCTTATTCAGAATGATCTTTTCAAAAACTCAAATCAGTTTTTGTTTATCTTCTTTAGGTGTATAGATTTCATTATTTTTATCATATCTTATAGGTCCATATAAGTGAGTATACACCATGTGTGTCTTTTTCCTTCTGGGATACCTTATTCAGAATGATCTTTTCAAAAACTCGAATGACAACACATGCTGGAGAGGTTGTGAAGAAAGGGGAACCCTCCTACATTGCTGGTGGGAATGTAAACTGGTACAACCACTTTGGAAATCAATCTGGCACTTTCTCAGACAATTAGGAATAGTGCTTCCTCAAGACCCAGCTTTACCACTCCTAGGCATATACCCAAAATTTGCTCAAGTACACAACCAGGACATTTGCTCAACCATGTTTGTAGCAACTTTATTTGTAAGAGCCAGAACCTGGAAACAGCCGAGATGTCCATCAACTGAGGAATGAATACAGAAATTGTGGTATTTTTACACAATGGAATACTACTCAGCAGTCAAAAACTAGGAAATTATGAAACTTTCAGGCAAATGGTGGGATCTAGAAAAGATCATTCTTTCAACATTCTTAGGCACAAAAAGCTACATTCTCAGCACTGGAGGCAATGGCCACAGCAAAGTGATCTGGGACTTTAATCTTGCCGGGTGCTCTTTGAAACACTTAATCTCAGCAGTCCTGCTGTTATTCATAGCATAGAAATGCAGGGCAGAACATTTTTGGGGTCCCTCGGGTACAGGATAAAGGGTGGCTGTGTGCTCAAACTACGCTGTATGAGATTAGTACTTATTGCTCATAACACAGTGTCACAAGTACCAATTAATTTAGATAAACATGAGCAGAAACAAATGCAAACAAACAATAATTGGGAACTGGGAAAAACAAGTTCAGTATTCCTCAAAAATACTCTGCATCTCTAATATAGTATAATTCCATCAGTAGACATATTCCTTCAAAATTCAAATGCCATTTACAGAGAAGCTCACTTTTCCTACTGCAAATCTTTCAGGGGATGTGATTGACAGTTTAAATTTTTCACATTTTTTGTAATTCAGATTTGATATTCAAACCAAGGCCTATGAAATTAAAAAAATAATTAGACTTGGGGAAATCACTTATTTTATTTGTATTTTGGAGAAGAAAGCTAAAACTTAATGAGCTCACTGTTCTTTCTCTAAAATGTTTGGTTCTGTGCAGAAAGTAAAAAGAAACGAATGGTCATGCTGCTTCAGGTCAATTTCTACAGAAAAATTTTCCTTTGTTTTTGCTAAAACAATTTGTTTATTAAATTTGTTGCCTGGGGACTTCATTCATTGATGTATTTACTGATGATTATTTTCTTCCTCTCTTCTCCCCTCTTTCCCATCAACAGCGTTGATTCTAGATGTTCTATTTTGAGGTTCATGAGTTTTGATTTAGTTTTCTTTTACCTGTTTAACTTAATCAGCACAATGTGTTTAGCCACTGAATGAGAACGAACTTTGGTGCTTGGGAGGTCAGCAGTGCAAGCGTGATTGAAACCCATGAATGCCATCATGGAAATGTTCTGAATTATTATATTTCTAAATGTAGGAGCCAGGACCTTCATTCAGTCTGACAATGTAGACCATTTGACTACCTTAACGTTCTACATAGTTCTAAATTTGAAAAGAAAAAGAAAGAAAGAAATATATCTGATAATTTTAAACAATTACGACTAAATTTACTCTTGTAAAGTCATGGTTTTAAATTTTTTTCTTAACATTCACACCAATATCTACTCTTGTTAAACTCTGAAGTAGTTTTGGTGGTTTGAATAGGACTGGCCCCATAAGCTCACAAATTTGACTCTTGACCACCAGGGAGTAGCACTATTAGGAGTTTGGCCTTGTTGGAGGAAGCATCTCACTGAGGTTGGCTTTCAGGAGTTCAGAAGCTCCAGTCAGGCCCACAGACACCATTTTCCTGCTACCTGCTGACAGGCATGTAGAACTACTGGCTCCTTTTCCAGCACCAGGTATGCCTTTGTCCTACCATTCTTTCTTCCATGATGGTAATGAACTAAATGTCTGAATCTGAAAGCCTGAACCAATTAAATGTTTCCCTTTATAGGAGTGGCTGTGGTCATGATGTCTCTTCATAGCAAGAGGAACCTCAACTAAGACACCAGAAACTAACTTTGAGAAGTTGTGGTTATAGACGCCTGATAGACTTTTCTCAACAAACTATTAATCCTAGTAACCAATAACCACATTGCTTATCGTTATCCTAATACATGAAGCTGTGGATGCAGCTTGGTGCTTAAGAGTACTAGTTGCTCTTGCTGAGAACCTGACTTCAGTTTCCCAGCACAGACATGATGGTTCAAAAACACCAGTAACTCCAGATGCAGGGTACCAATACTTTCCTCTGGCCTCCAAGGATACCCGACACTCACCTGGTACACAAACATACATGAGGCCAAAACATTTATTTACATAAAATCAAACATAAATTTACATAAATGGAAACATCTTAAAGTTGTAGAAGTAATTATAGATATGGGATAGAGAAGTGGCCTGGTGTATGTGAGCACCTGTGTCTAATCCCTCATGCTATTAGTAGAGGGTAGCCCTGAAGGGTCAGCACACACACATTCAGAGACAGAACCAGACAGAAATAAACACAGAGAGAGAATTCTCTGTAAGATTCTTTCTTAATTTTAAGAAGTAGGACTACCATTACCCTTTTCATATGGAGAAACACTAAAATATAAGCAGGCTGTAGAAAATGTACAAAATGGCATATCAAGTAAGCATCAGATGAGGGTTAGGAGCCAGGAGCCAGGGCTCCTCAGCATGATGTGAAAACTGAAACGAAACAAAGGATTCTGGGTTCCACTAACACATACATAGTTGCAGAAAAATGTGCTTTGAGGGGTAAATCTGAAGCCTTGTTTACATTAATCTATGGATTTCACTACATGTGAATAAAGGTAAAATGAGCATGACTTAAGAGGCAGCACCTTTGATAGGAATGTTTGAAGGACTCTGAAGAAACTAGGCCAGTGCTCACATTTCCTGTGTTAATGTAAGTTCATATTTTGTGATGTAAAGATGCCTTTGGAGCTATGAGAACACTGGTTGTCTCTAAAATACTGAATAAAACTAAAACAGTTCAAAAAGTATAGGGTATTTTGTTATGTTTTGTTTTGTTTTTAACAAACAATGATTGTTGTTTTGCCAAAGCCTGATGGAAATACTTATATGACCAGGTTATTTATTCATCTTTGCATATTAATCAACAGATTGTCTCTGTCGTAGAACTGTGGAACTGTTTCCTAGCTGTAACCCCTTACCTTCTATCAGGAACCCCTGAAGGCTGAGCACTGGGCTGACTTCTGACTGAAGACTAAACTTAATCATAACACAATGTATACCTAAAATATTTAAAACCCCATTCTTCTCTAAGACCCTTGAAAGCTTTCTGATTAAGTTTCCTGTATAAATAATAATGGTTATATATCTGTAATATAAAACCAGTTTGATTAAGGCAAGTATTTAACAACACATTTGGGTAAAATGGCATTTGTTACAAAACTTGCTGTTAGCTGAGCAATGTTACATGATTTTCAATGCTTAATTTAAAGGTTCTTATGCCTATATACATGCATATATCTAAACAATCCATACCTTGATCTTAGCAAAGCATCCAACCCCGAGGTTTGCAACACTTTTCTCAAGTTCTGCCATGTTGTTCTGATTGTTTCCAGATACCGTTGCTTTAAATACCCTACTTCTGTCTTTCCAAAAAAAGAAACACTTGTTAAATTATTTATTGAACTGTAAAAACAAATCCTTTTTTTTTCATTTTCTGATGTTGAATGGTTTCCTTTTTTTTCTCTCTCATGCATTACATCCCAATGACACTCCCTCTCCCTCCACTCTACCAAGTCCCTCCCTCCCCAAACTCCCTTCTCCCTCAGATCCACTCTTCTTCATTTTGCTGCTAAAAAAAAAAATGCTAGACTCTGATGAATATCAAGAAAACATGGCATAACAATTCTTAAAAACTAGGCACAAACCTTCACGTGAAGGTTAAAGGAGACAACTCGGCAGGGGAATAGTTGCTAAATCATTAAACTCTACATTTGTTAAATTATTTACCGAATTGTAACAAATAATTCTAAGAAAAAAAAGTAGGCCTGTTAGGTCCAGGCTGTCCTAGTCAGGGTTTCTGTTGCTATGATAAAATACCAGGAACAAAAAGAAGTTAGAGTGGAAAAGTTTCATTTTAACTTACAATTCTATATCATAGTTCATAACTGAGAGACATCAGGACAGAAACTGAAGGCAGGAAGCAATGCAGAGTGTGTGGAGGAATGCTGCTTATTGCTTTACTCCTCCTGTCTTGCCTGGTCTGCTTTCCTATACAACCCATCACTGCCTGCCCACTGACAGCATCTCCTACTGTGAGCTGAGCCATCTCACATCAATTATCAATCAAGAAAATGTACCGCAGTCTAAACCATTGGTCCACAAATGTCTCAAGTTGATTTAAAACTGTCCAGCACAGATACAAAGGTGGTTTAGTGGGCAAAGTATTTAACTTCTGGTGTTGAGTTTGAATTCTTTATAGCCAAGGAAAAATCTAGGCTTCTCTGTACCTGCTTGTAACCCTAACAGTGGGCAAACCCAGACACAAGATCACGTGCCAACCTGGCAGTGTAAACAAATGAACTACCAACAGGTTCAGTGAATAGACCTGTGGTGGTTTGAATAGGTATGACTCTTACAGACTGATGATTAGAAACCATGAGGAGTGGCACTGTTAGGACGTGTGGCCTTGTTGGAGTTTGTGTAGCCTTTTTAGAGTGTTCCACTGGGAGGTGGGCTTTGGGGTCTCCTATGTTCAAAATAAAGCCAGTGTGGAAGACAGTCTGCGTCTGCTGCTTGTGCATCAAGATATATAACTATCAACTCTTTCTCAAGCACCATGTTTGCCCGCAATCCACCAGGCTTCCTTCTGTGACGATAATAAACTAAACCTCTAAAGCTGTAAGCCAGCTCCAATTAAGTTTTTATTCAAAATGGGCATGGTGGTCATGACATCTCAGCAATAAATGGTCCACAGGAGTAAATCCCAAACTAAGACAAGATTCAATCAAAAAAAAAAAAAAAAAACCATTAGGTTGAACATTCTAGATGAAAACATTTAGCATTGACTTCTGGCTTCTATAATAGGCAAAGCTGAATATATGCAACCTCACCTGTACACACCCTTATATATATGTACTTAAGCCCATATACACAAGCCTGTATAAACACATAAAGCGACAAACACACACAAGCACACACACACAAAACAGCCTTATTTTATTTTATTATTTATTGATTTATTTATTTTGGTTTATCAGGAGGATTCTCTGTGTAGCTGTGGCTCTACTGGACTTGCTTTGTAGACCAACCTGGCCTGGATCTCAAAGAGACAATCTCTTGACTAGAAGCAATTTAATGAGCACCTTGCATATTACAATATTATCTAGGAAAGTTATTTTATTCTAAATGACCTTATAAATAAAAGATTTCTAATGAAGAAGCCAATGCAAATAACAACACTTATTAAATATTGCCTTACAGCTCGTTATGCTCTGATATTAAGGTGATGATAGTGTGGTTCAAAAGAAGTTTTTCATTTTTTTAGTAAAAGCAAATGAAACCCAGGTGATGCACTTTCAACTCACTTGAAGGCTGCTGCCCTTAAGAATGGAAAGACATCTGTTGAGTTGTTAATAAAACTATATGTCAGTGAAGAATAGGCTCTTTGACCATCTTAAGTTCTTTGAATTTCACAATTTCCCTTCAAGAAGAGAATCACTTTCTGCTGATTCACAGAATCCTGGGGAGACATAGAATTGTTTCAATCACAAAAAATAATAAATAAAACAATAAATAAGTTTATAATCTGTTGAAGAATCCAACAAATCTAGTTTTTAAAATGCAGGATTAAGGAAAAGACCAGACACCTAAACAGAGAGCTACACATGGTTATTATGACATACATTTGATGTATAGACATCCCTCTCTGTATAGGTAATATATACAACACAGAAATATTACTTGAGCTCTATTCAACTGTACCAGCCTCATTAAACTCTTCTGTGTCTTGAAGGTAGATAGAATATTTTTCATCACTATCCAAGTATTTTCATTTATATTGTTTCTAGAAAATCTACTTCAATATTCCAGTATGATTTCTCAAGAGTAACCATGGCACTAATTTAATAAAATTCTCTGAACAGTGTCTATTTACCGAGTAATCCAGAATTGCTTTAAGTTTGTAGTGTTTTCCAGCATTCCCAATGCCAGCCAACTCTGAGTGATTACGTTTGACCTTAGTTCTCTTTACTGCCCTGCAGTTACAACAAATAGTATCTGAACACCTACTATGTGCCAGTCACTGCATGAAGCCCTAGATTCAACAAAGAAGAAGACAAGTTTGCTGTTTGATACAAAGGTGAACTTATTTGAGACATATCAGTTGGCAGAGAAAGTTGGTTGGACCCACATCACTGGGAACCTATGTTTCTCTTGTGAAAAATAAAATTTTTTGCAAATAAATAAATAAATGGAAACTGAGATGTAATAGGGACATGTAGGCTGTACTTATGGTGTAGAGAACAAAATTCATAGGTTATAGATGAAAATGATAGGGACTGTCTAGGTATTTGCAAATGGCAGATCTTTTTATTTATTCATTTTACAAATGTTTATTAAGCCTTTACTAAATTCTAAGCACAGCAGTAGGGATCCTAAGATGAATAGCTGTGCTTCCTATCAAAAGGTTTCAAAATCTATTGGGAGAGACTGATTAAGTGGATCATGGTAGGTATTGCCATGATGCAGCAATTTCACAGGAAGGATTATTAATGAAAACCATTCTCATGTGTCATAGTTGGAGTATAATAGTTTAACCTATGCTTTAAAATAACCAAAAGTGTGAAGATTTGCTTGCAAGCTATCTGCATGCTCTGAGAAAGGCCACTCAACTTTTCTATCAATAATAAAAACAGCACTCATCTTTCTGAAATTACAGGAAAAAAAATAAAGGTCATGACATAGAGCAGAAGAACTTAATGTGGGAAAACACCCACTAAAGCATAAAAATAATTTGAAAGCCAAATTGTGAAACAAGTTAACCACTGTATCAGAAAGGAAAGAGCTGAGATTCACAGGCTGGAATCCTCAAAGACATAAAGCCATCAGTGCAAAGGAGCAAGGTCCTGGTATTTCCTCCATTCTCCACAATCCTAATGTCACTCAAATATTTCCCAGTATCACAATGTAACATAATCTGATGAGGAGGGAGCCTAAGCAGCTTAGTCTGCAGATGCCAGTTTCTGGGGTCCAGAATAGATAAAGCATGATGAGAATGGATGTGAGACCAGATGAACACTGATCAAGAAAACCACAATCTTCACTGAGAATTAAGTATGCTTCATGCATATTATAAAATGGGCACACAAGCAACATTCAACCAATGGTAGCTATTTGCTGCTAAAGTCCTCAGTGCTGTTCTGACTCAAGGCAGGAGAGAGCTCCTTGCATATCTCTGAAATCTAAAATCTCTATACTATGATCTATACTAAAATCTCTGAACAATACTACACACAAGAGTTTGTCATCAAGTCGATTGGTTTCTTTATTGACTTGAATGAATGAACACATCCCCTCTGCATCAGTGCAAAAAAGCAATAGTCACCATGTCTACATAGAGCACAGTCTCGCCACAGGAAAATACCAACTGTTAGAGGCTGACTGAGAGAAAATCCACTTGTCAAAAGAGACAAGGTACCATATTCTTGAACACCAGCTGTTTTACTGTTCAAAGTGATATTTTGGATGCCATGTGTGAGTGCTTTTCGGTTGAGTGACTAACACTCAAGAAATGTCTAAAAGAGCCTTTGTTCATGAAGAACTGCTGATATATTAGAAAGACACATCTCTGGTCTCATTTAGAGTCAATATGTAATGAAAACCAACCTGACATATGCTTTAAGTATTTTTATGTTTTTTAATGTTTTTTTAATTTAAATTTATTTATTCATTCACTTTCATATCAATTTGCAACTCCCTCCCTCCTCTTATACCAGTTCCCCCCTGCCACCTCTTCCTTCTATTCCCCTCTCCTTCTCAGAGAAGGGAGCCCCACCTCACATGCCAACCTACCCCTCTACTTCATGTCCCATCAGGACTAAGTGCATCCTTTTCCACTGAGGCCAGACACATTTGCCCTACTAAGGAAAGTCATTCCATAGCAAGTAACTATGTCCATGTCATTGACATCCATTTTCCTAGTTGCTAAGGGACGCACATAAGGACTGAGCTGAACATCAGCTCCATAATTGCAGGGGTCCTAAGTCCAATCCATGCATGCATTTAGGTTGGTGGTTGGGTCTCTGAGTCCCCATGAGCCTAGGTTGTTTGACTCTGTTGATCTTGTGAAGCTAGTTTCTCTTTCATGTTCCTCTGTACTTCCCCCAACTCTTCCACAAGATTCCCAGATGTCCATCTACTGTTTGGCTGTGGGTCTCAGCATCTGTTTTGATCTGCTGCTAGGTGGCGCTTCTCAGAGGACAGTTAGCTTGGCTCCTGTCTGCAAGCATGGCAGAGAATCATTAATAGTGACAGCGATTGCCTCTCTCCCATCAGGTGGCTCTCAAGTTGGACCAGTCATTGGTTGGCCATTCCCTCAGTCTCTGCTGTTTATTTGTACTTGTCAATCTTGTATGCCGTGTAGATTTTGAGTCAAAATACTGTGTGTAGGCTGGTGCCCTGTAGACATAAAGTTATTGAGGAATTAAATGCTTATTTCTGTACCCTCCCCCATTTCTGGTTGCAGTCCTTGTAATGAAAATCTCCTGGGTCAGTATTATGTAAAGACTGCTCCACAGTTATCTCCTGGTATGCCAATAAAGCAGGTTATAGCCAGTCACTGAACAAGAGAGAGTAAAGGGTGGGATTTCCTGCCAGCCATGGGAGAAGGAGTTAGAAGAGTAAGTAAAGGGTTCAGCAATAGGCAGATGTCCATTAGGGACAAGAAGAGAGAGATCAGAAAAAAAAAAAAAAGCTGTAAAGTGCAAGTATCTCTGGTATGCACAAGGGAGAAAACCAGGTTAACCTAGAGCTTTTAGAACAGACTAATAATTGCTCAAATGTTGTATTGTAAAGCTTATTATTAAACAAATACAAAATAATCTCAACTATTTGTGTGACAACCCAGCTAGGAGAGAACTCAGAAACAAACTTTTTTTTATAAAAATAACTTTAGGAGATCCAAGGTGGTGACATCAGTCACAAACTGTGACTAATCAGCAGGACAGCAGTGACTGCACAGTAACTAACAGTCTGAACGTGTGGGCCCAAAACACCAGCAACTGTGTTTCCCAGGTGAAAGGAAACCCCACAGTGAGGAAAACAATCAGGTCTGATCTCAGATCACCAGGCTAATCCCAGAACATTTCCTAGGTTCCTTCAGGCACAGGTTCTTCAGAACCTAGGCTCACCCCTAAGAGCTGTACCCACCATCCTAGATTGAACTGTGGTTACCAAAACACAAGAGACTGGATCTCGCAGTTGAGAGCAAACACCGCAAAGAAGGAAACAAGTGGGTCTGGCCTCAGATCACAAAGCTAGTCCCCAGAAAATTCCCAGGTTCTCACCAGCACTAAGTCTCCAAAGTCTACCCGCAGGCTGTGTGCTGTGCTCGCTGGCCAGTGAATACCTTCTGGGTACTGGGGCATACAACTTCATCCCCAGGCCTCGTGATGCCTGGGGGTTAGGGGAACAGCCCAGATGCCACTCCAAAGTTTAACCTGCCTCCCTAGGAAGGCCAACCAAACCTCTGGGTTTAGGGTTCTCCAAGATGGTTGTGCCCAGCAAACACAGTGTCTGAGCACAGTGTCTGGGCAGCTGCATCTCATTAATCTCAGAGCAAGAAAGCCAGTAGCAGGGCAGCTGTCTCTGGGACTTACCCTAGGGACAGAAAAGCCCCTGGGCTCCTAAGGAGTTCAGTTAGTCCACAGGACCATACACCTGAGGAAAGCTTTGGCAATTCCTTTAGAACCACCCTCCAGTCAGAGACCATACTGCCCAAGGAGGACAGTTTCTTTGGGAATATCCAGCTTCCTGCCTAGGGCTCTTCCCATACTGTACACACCCCCATCTTCCATGGACTCTAGCAGGAATAAGAAACTAACAGTTAACACCAGAGACAACAAGATAATTAAAGGCCAGCAGAAAAACACAATTAACAAAAGCCAAACAATATGGCATCTCCAGAACCCAGTTATCCCAAAGCAAGCAGCCTTGGATACCTGAACACAACTGAAACACAAGAAAATATCCTTAAATCAATGCTTATGAAGATGATAATGGAGAAAACATATAAAATCCATCAAGAAATACAGAAAGATGAAGTCAAACAGACTGAGGCCATTAAAGTGGCCTGAAGAGAGGAAATTAATAAATCAATCCAAGAAATACAGGGAATGGAAACAATCAGGTGAAGGACATCAATAAAACAGTTCAAGATCTGATGATGGAAATAGAAACCAACAATGAAGAAAGTACAAACTGGGCTGGAGAGATGGCTCAGAGGTTAAGAACACTGGTTGTTCTTCCAAGGGCCCTGAGTTCAATTCCCAGGAACCACATGGTGGCTCATAACCATCTATAATGTGATCTGGTGCCCTCTCTGTTTTACAGACACACATGCAGGCAGATTGTTGTGTAAATAATTAATAAATAAATCTTTTTTAATTTTAATTTTTTAATATTAATCATTGGTTATTTACTTTGTGTCCCAGCTGAAGCCCCCTCACTCATTCCCTCCCAATCCCACCCTCCCTCCCTCATCTCCTCCCTGTCCCTTTCCAAGTTCACTGCCAGGGGAGGTCCTCCTCCTCTTCCTTCTGACCCTAGATTTTCAGAGATCTTCAGTACTCACTGCAATGTCCTCCTCTGTGGCCTAGCAAGGCTGCTCCTCACTTGGAGGTAGGAGGAAGTAAATGAGCCAGTTCTTGAGTTCATGTCACAAATAGTTCCTGTTCACCTTATGAGGGAAAACCCACTTGGATACTAATCTACCACAGGCATATCTGAGCAGGGGTTCTAGGTTATATCCATACATGGTCCTTGGTCCCATCTCATAGAGGACCCCGTGCCCTGATATATTTTGTCCTTGTGGAACTCCTGTCCTCTCCCTGTTATACTAACAGGGAATGTGTGTGTGTGTGTGTGTGTGTATTATCAGCATCACGCTTCAGATCATTAGATAATTTTCTGTGTTTACCTGTTTCCCTGTGTCCTTCTATTTATACTTCTAATGTGTATTGAGAGAAGAAGTGATTCATGAGGAGTACCAGTGTTAATAACAGAACCTCCTGAGCTTAAAAAAACATTTGATTAATTACTTTCTTATGATCTCCAATATCCTTTTTAACTCAAAAAATTTATCTAGTACCTCATTTATGGATTTATGGCTCAGAAATCAATATTTGGAAAGAATTTATAAAGGAAAAATTTCTCTATCTGGGCATTCAGACTTGGAGGAAGAAGAAACATATCTACAAATGATGAAAAAACATTTTTAACTCCTCAATTTTAAAGAAAATGAACATTGTAAAAGTGTATTGATTTATCAATTCTTTAGAAAAGCATTCTAAGTCTTTGGGTGTAAAATTTGAAACATCATCAAACCAGCTTTCACTGATTTTAACAACTTAACATATATAATAAATGTCTAGCTACAACATATTATCTGTGAATTTATTTAACAGTTTGTTTTCACTCACCAAATATTAATTGACTATGAAAATTGTATGTTACACGTTAAGTGGCATTGTAAGGAAGAAAGAAGACATTTGTTTATAGTAAATATTACCCCATATCATAATAAACTTCATACATTATCTACACATTATCTTAAATATAACACTTTAGGGGGAGTCATCTATTTAAAAACAATGTTTGGCCTCCCCACCCCCCAAGGGAGGAGCAGTCCTGTTAGGCCACAGAGGAGGGCTTTGCAGCCAGTCCTGAAGATACCTGATAAAACAGGATCAGATGAATGGGGAGGAGGTCCCCCCCATCAATGGACTTGGAAAGGGGCACAGTGGAGATGAGGGAGGGTGGGAGGGACTGGGAGGGAATGAAGAAACGGGACACACACGGCTGAGATACAGAGTTAATAAAATGTAACTGATAAGAAAAAAATAAAATTCAAAAAAAGAAGTTAATCAATAAGTAACCCAAATCTTCAGTGATCAGCTTAGATAAAGAAGAACAAGCAAAGGTCACAGAGAAGCCACAGGCTTTTGCCTCAGCAGCTCTGATAACTGACATACAGCATAAAGTAGGGACATGGACAAAGGGATGAGGTTCAGATTTTGATACAAAAAGAGTCCACAATTTGGTGGTTATATCCAGTGAGTGGTGGAACATGACTCACATAGTTTATTGTCAGGATGGCAGGTGACCATGGCACTGGATGCAGGAAGATGGGCTGAGGATCAGAAGTTGGCCTGCTGCATCTGGATTCTGTAGCCCTGATCTTTTAAAATCTTAAGTTATTGTAGGTAGAAGTGTGTAAATGGTTTCTGTACATGAGTGCAAGCACAGGTGTGCCATGCATACTTGTGGGAGTCACATGACAAATTCCAAGGGTCTGTTTTCTCTTTTTATTCTGTAAGCTTTGGAGATTTCTTTCCTCTGGGAAATAACATCTCTATTGATAAAACACCAACAGCAAAGGGCAGCCAGACTTCAGACCTCCACTGTAGATCTCAGAGAGGATGAACCCTCTCCTTGGCACTCCTTCTCAACTACTATAGTTTTATGATTTTTTAATGCATTAGTAATTTGAGGAATCTCTGCTCAAGTGTCCTTGGTGATGATTTTCTCTGATGATAACACACTAAATAAGTGTTTGGTAGAGTCTAATCCATCTGAAATTAAATGATATATGCATTTCTTATCATGAAAGCTTGATATGTCATCAGTACTGCTGATTAACTTTGTGATTTATAGTCTTTCTTTATGTTTGATTACAAATCATGATTGATTCAATCAGCTGAAGCAAGTCTCACATGAATGCATATTCACCACATATTTGAAGTCTAGAGTCCAAATCCTGAGTTTCTTTGTAAACCATCCACTAACCAGAACCACGTGGCCCTCCGTTGAATGACCTTAGACACACAGCACTGAAAGTAAAAAATTGAACAGTACAGTCAGTGTACCCAACTCTTTTGGACTTAGAAGCTTTACATGGCGCTTAGAGGTAAAAAGATTGACAGCATTGGCCCAACCATATCTTCCTTTAGTAAACGTGGAAATACCAATGCTATCACAATCCATGCACACAAAAGCCTGCTAGAGCACCTCAACACCCATATTACAAACTACAGTTCACACACAATAAAAATTACAATTCCCATTGCTTTTCACAGTGGATATGTTCACTATATCCTGCTTGCTCTTCTTTCTACCTGTTCACACAGGACTCTGCCACAGATGGCTTATGAACAAAGATTTTTTTACAAAGAGTTCTATTTAAGCAATTTCTTTCGGCATCAGTGTTAGTTCACATTTTTATTTGATATAACCAAAACACTGATCATTAAAATTTGATTTTAACATAGATTCAACACCAAATACATGATATACCGTTTATATTCCAATTATGTTCATTGTCCTAACAATTCTTTTTATAGGTTTTTTGAAAAAAGTTAATCACATGTATATATTTGGTGTGTGTGTCTATGTGTACGTGTTTCTGTGTGTATGCCTGCACGTGTGCTACATATATGTTACAGCATACACGTGTAGGTCAGAAGAAAACTTGCAGGAATCTGTTTTGGGGATCAAAAACAGGTCCACATGCATGGCAGAAATTGGCTATTGCCTACTGAGCCATCTCACAGACCCTTTTTATTGGCTTTTTACTATTGTCTCAAAATCCAGGCCAATCTCAGAGGTTATCTTAAGGTAACTAGCTCTGGTTTCTTTGAATAAGTATCTTGGCCTTCTCTTGGGAAGGGAATTATTAACCATTTACAGAGAATATCATGAGGCAGAAGAGATGATTCATTGATTAAGAGCATTTACTGCTTTTCCCATATCACACAGCAGGTGTGTTATGGTGTGTTCAGAATCACCTGGAATTCTACGGGGATCCAATACCTTCTTCTAGCCTTCTTTGGAATCAATACAAGTGTGACAGACACCCATATCTCATATTTCAGACAGACACTGAAATTCTAGAGGAAACCAACACCTTCTCGAGCCTTCTTTGGTATCAATACCTATGTGACAGACACCACACATATCTAACTTTTTAATTAAAAACTCTAAGAAGGTCAGATGTTCAAAATACCTGTCAATACAAACTTGTCTAAAGTCCCTTCATGAAAATGTTCTTGTTATACAACTTGAGTGAGAATACTATGGGAATAATATGATGCTTCCTGAAATTCTTGATCTCGTAATGTGCATTTTTCCTTGTTGGTAAGGTGAGCCCTGGTTACGTGATCCATGTGGATCTTCCAATTCTCTTAGTATCAAGGTAATATTTTCCTATTTACTTCATTGAATGTTTGTATGGAGTTCAATAGATCATAACAGTCTCTTGTCTATCTGTAATTCACTAGTTTTAGCATCCAATGACAATTCAAAACTCAAATTATTTTTGTTAAATGCAGCAGCTGGTTTGCTGAGCTATGATAGGGTTTCCCTTATTTCCCAATATTGATTAACTTAAATCTGTATAAACTTACATATTTTTAATCTATCTAGTAAATTACAGCCTAATCCCTTGATAATTGCATTTTTTGCTTTTTTCCATTCCTGGGAAAAATATCTGACAGAAGCCATATAAAGAAGAAATTATTTGTCTCACATTTTGAAGGTGTACTCCATCATACCAGGGAGGGGAGAGTAGGAGCATTGAGAGGTGGCAGGTGTCACTGCATCCAACTTCAGGAAGCAGAGATAGAAGAATGCTCCTTCTTACTTGTGTTTCTCAGTCTAGGAAGCCCTTGCCAAGAAGAAGGAAGAACCCTCCTTCTTCTTACCTCAGTTAAACTTTCAGGATCTGCCCCATACATCCATGTCTCCATAGAGATTCTGAATCCAGTCAAGTCGACAATGAAACTTAACCATTGCTCTATCAAAGGCATGGTCAGTTTTCTAGCAGGAGGTATTTTTATTTAACAAGTCCTTGTGACAGAAGCTGCCTCCTCAAACATTCATATATCCCTTGGAAAGTCCCCACCGATAGCCAGTGGTTTATGTCCTGTCCTCACTGCTACTTCTTCATTTTCTGTCCCCATCACTGGCCACGTCTTCACTTCCTGGCATTAGATAATCAAAGATTCTTTTCTCATTTAAAAAATATTCCCCAGCACATTTCTCAAGTCAAACTTACTCCAGCAAATTATTTCCTATCACCACAAATAATACTTAGGAAGCAAAACACAGACAGAGACATGGAGATGCTCGTGCACAGACAAGAAATACACATGCATGTGTCCACATAGATACACATACAGATAAGAGAAATGAGAATACAATGGTGCTTCCATTTCACCCAGAAAATAATCACACCAGATAGCAGGCTGTGGGGATCTCCCATGCCCAGTCTCGCCATATCAGAGATATGAGGAATATAGCAAGGCAAATATGAGAAGGCACAGCAGCAGCAAGAAGCAATTTGGAAAAAAAGGTCTCTGGCTGTGTCTCTTCAAGGTACACCCATCACAGCTGAGCAAAATGGTGGGCTGTCTGCTAAAAGCTCACCTTCCCACTGCAGCTCCTCCTTTATGGTGCCTGCCACATGTCATCTTGAATGGCCAGCCTCCTAACAGGAACTCAGCAATTTTTCATAGCTTATCACATAGTGAAACAAACTGTTAAGTGTAGGGGCCCATCAAATACACCTGTATAAGTCACAGTTGTCTCAAGGTGTAGAACATTTACATCCTGGAAGACAGGTTACTTATGGACAACCTGCTTTTGAATTGTAATATCATTTGTGTACAGATTTTATTTTATGTTAATTTTTGAAATGGGGATTTTCTATATCAGTTTGGATTTCCTGGAACTTGTTCTATAAATCAGGCTGGACTTAAGGTCATAGAGTTCTAGCTGCCTCTGCCTCCAGAGTGCTGGGATTAAAGGCATGGGACACCAATGCTCGGCTGTGTGTAGACTGAATTACCTTAGCACTTTAAAAAGTACAAATAAGCT